TGTATAGTTACATTGTTTCAAGGCTGTGTGAAAGTTAGTTTGTATGATTGCCAAGTCGTATATTCCGTCTGCAGCAGAATAAACGTGCACACATAGACTGGGCATATCTGTAAATGTATACATGATTCTGACGAGGATAAAGCTGAGGCATTGAACAGCTTCTTTTCCTCAGTGTTCGCAAGAGAGGATGCAACTAACCTTCCTGCGTTTGAGGACAGGCGGTTCGACACAGCACTGACCCACATTGTGTTCACAGAAGAGGGTATTAGAAATAAACTGTCCAGGCTAAAGGTCCATAAGAGTCCCGGCCCTGACATGGTGCATCCTAGAGTGCTAAGAAGGTTGTGCAACGAGCTTGCCGAGCCCCTGAAGATCCTGTTTTGTAAATGCCTGGATGAACAAAAGGTCCCCAGTGAATGGAAAGTGGCTTATGTGAGTCCTATCTTCAAGAAGGGCGATCGTCACTCCACGAACAACTATAGACCGGTGAGCCTGACCAGCATAATATGTAAAGTACTTGAGAGTATTATCAGTGATGCCGCAATGGAACATCTAATACGAAACAACCTTGTAAAAGATATCCAACACGGTTTTATGCCGGGGCGCTCTTGCTTAACACAATTGCTCAAGGTATTGGATATTTGGACCCATATTCTGGAACGGGGTGGTAATATCAACAATATTTACCTAGATTTTGCTAAGGATTTCGACAATGTACCTCACGAAAGGCTGAAAATCAAACTGGAAGGGTACGGAATTCGGGGAAATGTCCTAGCGTGGATAAAAGACTTTCTACATGACCGCAAGCAGTGTGTGGTGATTAATGGCACGAAATCGTCATCTGTACCTGTAACAAGTGGGGTACCACAGGGCAGTGTATTGGGCCCGCTGTTGTTTGTTTGTTTCATAAATGACATGGCTGACGTTGTACACTCTTACATACAAATGTTTGCCGATGACGCCAAGTTATTTCGGGAAATTAAGAACCAAGCGGACTGTGAAGAGCTGCAGAAGGACCTCTGTGGGCTCCAGGAATGGTCGAAGAAATGGCTGCTGAGATTCAATGTCACGAAGTGTAAGAGGATGCACCTGGGGCGTACCAACGGTAAGGAGGCGTATCATATGTCCCAACGGGTTGAAGAAACTGCACTAGTTGAGACTGTGTGTGAGAAGGACCTAGGTGTTTATGTTGACAATGAGCTGAAGTTCTCGGGCCATTGTGAGAAGAAGGTAAATTAGGCAAATAAATTATTGGGTCTTATAAGAAGGTCGTTCAGATATCTAGACGGTCCGTCCCTCGTAACGATCTTCAGGAGTGAAGTGCTTCCCCATCTGGAGTACTGTCACCCCATCTGGTCCTCGAGGTATGCTGGGGACTGTCAGTTGGCTGAAAATGTTCAAAGGAGGGCCACCAGACTGGTGCCTGCACTTCGGCACCTCAGCTACCCTGAGAGATTGGAGCGCCTGAACTTGCCTAGCTTATACTACAGACGGGCAAGGGGGGACCTAGTTGAGGTGTATAAGCAACTCAGGGGGCACTACTCAGTTGAGTGTCCTTGGAGCTGGCGGACGCTCGCCCCACAAGGGGTCACAGCTCAAGATTGAAGAAGCCGCAAGTCCAGAAAACCGTGAGGGCAAACTTTTTCGGAGTGAGGGTTGTAAACTCTTGGAACAATCTACCAGAGAGTGTTGTGACGGCACCGAGTGTGAGCTCTTTCAAGACAAGACTTGACCAACACTGCAACGGGTTCAGGTACATTCAGGAGCCGGTGCATGCCCAGTATTTGCCAACAGTGCGTGACAGAGACGTGACCGATCGCCCGGGCGGCTAGTGAGCCGATCTTTTGGTGAAGAAGATAAATGAAAAGAGACGTGACCGATCGCCCAAGCGGCTAACAAGCCGATCAGTGGCGAAGAGGATAAAAGTAAAAAAAAGTGAACACCGAGGAAAAGAAGCTCTTCAATGCCTCAGCTTTATCCTGGTCAGAATCTGTGTAACTACCGCCTTCAAGCGTCAGGTCTGATACTCCTACTCGCATTTTTAATTTCGACTTTGCATAGTGGTAAAACACCTTTATGTTTGACTTGACCTCGCTTGCAACCAGCCTCTGGAAATCCTTTTCAGCCCTTCTACATGCTATCTTTGCTTGGTTTCTGGCTCTTGCATACATCTTCCTGTCCTGCTCATCATTTGACCCAACCCACGTCTGGAATTTCTGGATTTTCTTCTTAACTCTGTTGACCGCCGCATGGTTTATGTGTAGGGATCCCCTCGTATTCCTTGAGGCACTGGGTACCGTTTGGTCTTGGGTATATGTTTATCGATCAAATGGGTCACTTTACTAGTTATGATATTCAGCGTAGTGTCTGTGTTCTTGCGCCTTAATGAGTCAGGCCAGTGGATACCCCTCATCTCTTCCCCCATCCCGTTGAAATTTCCCCTGTAATATTTGCGCCTTGGCTTGGCTTAATCTTGAACTGGGTAACAGATAAATCTGAATGACACCACTATATGGTGACTGGTGCCAACTGGGGCAAGATGTTCCAGTTTGGCCACCATACCCTCCTCGTTTGTTATGATGAGGTCTAGTGGGTTTGGTGTTTGCTCCCCTCTGTAATGTGTCGGGTCTCTAACATGTTGGAACAGAAGATTATTTCTCAGAGTTTCTACAAAAAGAGTAGCAGGGTTATTCATGTCATTTGGGGTGAACTCGTTTCTCCAGTCGATGTCGCCCTCGGCCAGATTGAACGAATACACCAGGGCTGGTTTAATGAAAATTACCCAGAAATCAACGTACTCGTCGATGATAAACGTGTTGCGTTAAGGGACTTGCATAACAACCCTCAGTCTCGGACCAAAGGTGATTCGTTCGGCAAGAAGAAAGCGGCGGCCCAAGACGAACTTCGCAAACTAAAGAACGACTGGTATAAAAATAAAGCATGTGAAATGCAAAAACGCAGATCAACACAAGGTGCACGAAGTTTTCGTTTTCACTAAAACATTTTATGGGCCAATCACTTATGGCACAGCCCCCTCCCACGCTCATCCCGTGGTAACTCCCTAATTAAAGATGAAGAAGGCATCCTTCAGCACTGGAAACAGCACTACCATTCGCTGCTCAACCGAAACATCGATGTGGATATTCTGACTACCCAGCAGGTCCCTCAGCATCCAGAGCTGACCCACCTCAGCTATCCTCCATCCCTGGATGAGGTAGCTACTGCCATCAAACAGATGAAAAATAACAAAGCCCCAGGGCGGCCTGATGGAATTCCAGCCGAGGTGTATAAAGCAGGATGACCTCTGCTCACCAGATTAGTCCTAATTAAAATAAATAAAAGAAAAACAAAAAACGAGAAACCCAGGAGTAGAGGGGAGTACACATAACCTATTAAGGTATACGAGCGTAAAGTAGAAATAAGCTAATCTTGCCAATATTGTTATTTTATAGAAATATAAAACAACTCAGGAATAAAAATTGTTCTTAAAATTATATTTAATACATTAAATCCATAAAATAACTCAAAATTAAACAAATAAAATTCATTAGGATATTTGAAGATTGGCTCGTAGTCTCTCAGTCAAAATAAACCCCCTACTAGAGGTACTCAATGACCCTCAACTACTCTTATTTGTGACGATATTAAATGAAGCCTCGACCTCACACACCTCCTCGAAATGGCTGATGAACCCCAACAGACAGACGTTAATAGCCATCGTGACGAGGAGAAGTAAGAGACCGACAGATATACATAAGACAATAGTGAAGTTAAATGATACTTTCAGTGTGAGAGACAAGGTGGCCACTTTACCTCGCCTTATTTAACTCATTGTTATCGTCATATCCACCTCACATAACCTCCATGTTACTATTAAACATTATGTATATAATAGTAATGTAATGGGTGTACTGGGGCAGATTATATGTGTGCAGTATGTTTTTTAGTTTCTATCATGAAATATTTTTGTGACATAATTTTAAAGGGATGTTTTGGTAATATTTTGGGTAAAGGTGTAGGTAATGGCTACCACCAGAAGGAGTTGTCCGAATTGGTTGAAATTTTCTCTACACACTAATATCATGATATTAAACACAAAAATGGAAACGGCAATGCATAGAACCTGACCTAACATACCCATAAGTTGGGTATGTTAGGTCAAGTTCTATTAGGTTCCATGCATTATCATGTTAATTTATGTGTTAAACAACTTAACTTAATATTGAGGCTGATATACATCAGCAATGGCGAGGAGGAATTTTTGGAAGCGTTCACCATCATTTATAGGAAACGTCTCTTGAAGAGGGATTCAGCGAGGTAAATAACAAAAATGGAGCCGGGAGGAGAATTGTGAAGCGGGATAAAGTAACTAAAAAAAAAATAGTTAAAATCATATAATAAAGTTGTTGTTTATTATAAAATCATAAAACACAATAAGTACAGCAAAAATAAAGAAAATCAACAAACAACTTCTGGTTCTAGCCGTTATCTACACCTTTACCATTGTTTGGTGTAATAGGTTATTGTTGGGCACCTTTACCTTAATGTTTTAGACAAGAGAAGTCTGGGTGATGGGTGGTTAACGATTTGTTTCTCTTGCCATTTAATACATCTCTTTGAGAAACGAAAGAGTATACTGTACTTGAATTTAGTGGGGCATTCCAAAAATAAACGCAATATTTGCGATTTATTTGTTGTACTAATCACAAATATTTCTAAGTCCCAATTTGATGTTATGGTGACACCCAACGTCGCTCTCGTTCGTTCATTTGTGTGTTAGCACGCCTTGATGCGTGGGTGGGTGGAAATTACATAACACTGTGCATCTGTCCGTCTATTTTGAGAACAATGACCCTGTTGGGTTAGGTCAGGTTAGTACGTAGACCTAGTTTAGTTTTAACCCTTTTTCCCATGAAAAATAATTTTTTTCGATAGTTTTCTGGTGTTTTAAATGATTCCGAAATTTATTTTTAGTGAAAATCACTAAAATAAATAAATGTCAGAATCATCATAAACAGCAAGAAAACAAACTTTTTTTTCATGAAAAGAAAGGTGATGGCTGGTTAACAAAAATATGACCTAAGTTTGTTCCATACTTCAAGTAATATCAACACTATGTTAGACACCATACTGTAATTTATGTTTTTGTTTATCAATTATTCTAATTCTTTTTAAAACAAGCAAAACAAATAAAGCGAATCTGTTTAATCTAAGCTAACTTAACAAAAAGTCTCTTTTTTAAACAAGTAAAACAAATAAACCTAACCTAACATGATTAACAAGCTAACTTAAAGGTAAAATAAAATGTTATTGATCTTAAGCATAACATCACACTTGTATAAATTATTACATTTTGAGAAATACAGGGTATCTTGATCACTCTCAACCTTACTGTACTAAAACAACAACAGGTCAAGTGTGATATTCCCTGTGAGAAAAAAAAAGTGGGCCATAAAGCAGTGGGAGAAGGTGGGGAAGGAGGAATATTGTAAATTCAGGACTACTGTACTGCACTTGACAAGATTAGTAAGGGTTGGGTCACTGCCTTATGACCGGAACATTGTGGACACCTGCTTTCCCCTAGGAACTTGATCTCACTCTCCTCTACTGTACAGTACAGTATATATTAGCCTTGTCAAATATTTCTCCTTAGTCTGTACTCACCCCTGAAGATGTGATCTACATAAACGACATAGATGAAAATATATTGAGCCACATTGTCAAGTTTGCGGATAACATACAGATATTTGGGAAGGTAGTAAGTCAAGACGATGATTCAACAATGCAGAAAGACCTGAATGAGCTGTTCATATGGTTTAGAGACTGGCAAATTCTCTTTAACATTACAAATTACAAGACCCTACCGGCAGGTTACAACAACCTTAACTCCAACTATTCTGTTAATAACACTTTCCTGGATACTGTCAATAAGGAGAAAGATATATGCGTTGTGATAGATCATTCACTGAAGGTGCTGCAACAATTGGGGGCAACAGTGAGAAAAGAAAATGGAGATTTGGGAATTATAAAGCATATTATAAAGCGTTCCTTTGAGTACGAAGATAGGAAAATGTTCCTTCAACTGTACAAACCTCAAGTACGTCCCAGTCTGGATTACTGTATACAGACATGGAAACCCTACCTCCAGAATGATCTAACATCCCTATAGAAAAGATGCAACTAGAGTGACTAAGATGATTCCGGAACTATGTCATCTCGATTATCCAAGTAGACTGAGGGCATTAGGATTAACAACCCTCCAGATAAGGCACATATGGCAGATCTCATTGAAACATTCAAAATCCTAGAAGGGATGGAACCCAGGACATTTTTTTGTGATGTCACACCACCAACACGAGAGGACATAACTACAAGCTCGCCAAGTTATCATGCAGAACGAATACTATAAGAAAATACTTTTTCTCACAGAGGTTGGTAGACCTATGGAACATTCTACCAGTCTAAGCTGTGGAATCAAGAACAGTACTGGGCTTCAAAATAGCCCTTACAAAATTATCAAAATCAATGGAGGCTCCTACACAGATCAGTGGCCTCCTTCCCTCGGCATGGCCCTCTCTAATGGGTGGCCATTAGGTAAATAAGATAAATCCATCAGATTACAAGAAAACAAAGAGAAGCTTTTAGTTGGGGGACTGAAAACTGGTGGAGCCTATAGCCAGGCAGCATGGACTCCCTTGGGTTTATGATCAATCAGGTGGAATTACATGTACTGTGTACTGTAATTAGAAAATGATAATTGGCCTAGATTAAAAGATGGCAGATATTAGCCATGGCTTGTGAGCTGAAGGTGGACAGCACTGCTCTAATAAGGCAGCCAGTGCAGCAAGTTATTCCCTTCATTTAAGGCCAACAACATGATTGGAAGGGAAGGGTGATTAGTACAGTATATCCAAAATTGGGTAACATTAACATTGGCTGACTTTATGAGAGGGCTTGTCTAGATCTGCTAGGCTATTGGTTCTGCCAGAAAAAGGATTATAAGATCAAATGACCATTTTTACTTAACAGCTCTACCTGAAGGGCAGGTGTGTGTGCGCCTTTATGTATGTAGTATTTTGAATACATTAGCTCACATAACTTTGGTTTTAACCAGATATGATATTGTACCTTACTGTACTATATTAATTATCAGAATTTTTTCTCATCTTCCCATAATTATGGCTTAATAGACTCTGCCATCTTCATTTACAGAATCTTGTTTTCTTTTAGATTTTGTCGTGATTGGTTAACATTTTTCCATAAAACCTTTTCCATTATCTTTGAAATAATGGGTAAACTCATGATGAATTAACTTTATCATATGTCCCCAGTAAACGGTATTGTTGGGTTTGTTATGCAAGTGATGAAGACGATGAAACAGCGCCATGGGTCAAACCTTGCAAGTGTAGAGGAACCACAAAATGGGTGAGTTATCACTATACTGTACTGTATAACTTACACTTTTGCTGCTGAATTAAATAAATAATTTGTTCTTAATTTCAGATGCTGATAAATTATTATGCAGTACCTGTACTGTATATTAGAATCTTGAATTTACTTATAGTATTACGGTACTATTTTACCAGAATGAAAGTGACTGGCTGGCAATATTTGCATATGCCACTAAGTTCAACATTGGCCACTATGCACAAATTTATTACAGGTGTATTATTTAATTATTGTGAAATGTATATTGTACAGTACAAGGATTTTTTTTTAGTAAGCATAATTTTGTCAAGATATTCTTCAATCTTCTAGGTTTAGGTAGGGTCTTATTTGATCAACTGACTGTAGATAAAATATTGAGTAAGTTTCAGCAGTGATATTGTCTCACACCCACTAATACCACCGCTTCTCTCCTCTTGCAGCCAAGATATTTTAACAGTAAATATGATAATACTTAAATTTTCTTCAATACTTAAGGTTTTGGTAATGTTTGGTTTGATCCACTATTGTAGCATACAGCTGTAGATAAAACATAGTGGTAAGTAAACATGAGGGCACTGCTGGCATTCTTTGACTCACTACCACCACCAACAATGCTCTTGTTGCTGGTGTAGCTGTCTATATATTTACTCTGAGACTTTTTTACAGTAAATAGTTTTGTGTTTATGACATAGGTTAAAAGGACTGGAGGGATTGACAGCCAGATCTAATGACTACAGTACAGTAATACATATTGTATTGTTTTTATGATTTTTAATGTGTACTGGTATTGTTTTTTGTATAATGTTGGCAAATAAATTACAATGCAGTACTTAAATGTAATTACACAATCATATACAGTACAGTATGTGTAGGAAGGTCCCTCTTAATGAATAAGATGCATTACTAAAAAAGTGTTCATTAGGTGAAATCTCGTTCAACAGGATCCAATATTAAAAGCTGAGACTTGTTCCAGCCTAAAAAAATTGACCCCAAATCCCCATGGTACAAACTTAGATGTGTTTCAGCTTAGAGAATTTGGACCCTGTCATTGGTCACTGGTCTGATACACACACACACACTTGAATGTCACTACAAATGGCACTACTTGTATATCATCTGTGGTGGTGGGAGCACCTATCACAAACTGTCTACAGTACACTGTGTTTACTAAAATAAAAGTGTTTATCAGTGCCTTCCTTTTAAAAAATCATAATACTGTACAGTTTTTATTGGTGAGGAAGTAGCTTCAGTGAGTAGCATCTCATGGGTCTAGCTCACAGTGCACTGTGGATGCGATGTCAGTCAACGGGATGATTAAATGGCGGTGGGAAACATGAAAACATATATTTATGACATCAGGAGTTTATTGAATATTTTAATTTGAAGACTAAAGCTGTTTAAGGGTAGTTAAATTTATTTGGTTTTTACTATTTCCTCTGAAAATAATGTACAGTACTCTCCAAGTGCTGTACAGTAAGTACATTGGTGTTGTGACTGGTGGATGAAGTCCCTGCTGGTGTATCACTCTGAAACACCTCGTGCCTTGAAGGGTTATGCCAAAACCAAGCTTCCTGTTACATAAAATGACAAGGTTTCTTTTTGTTCAAGGCAAGTTCATTAATAGTTAATAAGGCCCAAGAAGTACTGTATGTACAGGTAAAAAGAGTTTGAATGACATACGAGAGGATATGTAAAGAAGACATTGCATTGTGGCTAAGTTCATGGTTCAATTTTTCCTCTTCAGTAGCTACCATGATTGTGTGTACAGTTTGTTGAAGATGTTATCACTCAGTTCTTAATGAAAGGTGTACTAACTTGTTTTATTGGTTGGCACAGGTGCACCAGTCATGTTTGCAAAGATGGGTAGATGAAAAACAAAAAGGCAACTCTACTGTAAAAGTAAACTGTCCTCAATGTGGAGTGGAGTACTTCATTGCCTTCCCTAACATGGGTAAGTTTACTTTGACATTTAAAATTTTTGATCAATATTCATGCTGAGTGGGTTATTTTTCTATAAACACATACAGGTTGACTCTCTCAACCAACAACCATTGGAACGGGGCCATGCCGTAAGAGGTAAATTCCCGTTAAATAGAAGGTTGATAATTAATGGCACATTAACCTACACTACGCCTAGCCTAATGCCCCTCTAACATTAAAATTTACTTTATAGACCTATTTAGACTCGCAACATGGTGAATAATTGTGATAAATAAACAGTGCCATTAATTGGGAGTTGTTGGTTGATGGATTGCCAGATAAGAGGGTCAACTTGTGCTGTTTTGATGATTTATTTAATTTTTTTTCCAATAAACACAAATACTGTATAGGTTTCTGTAACATTAATTTGTTTCTTTATCTTTACACAATATTTTATTTAAATCTGTTCATATTTCTGTTTTACTCTTATTTTTTATCTTCTCTTATCTAAATCAGTCATATTTTTTCTTTTACTTTACTTTATTTCTCTTACCTTCGTTTACCTTATTCATTTCTTCCATACAGAGAGGGAGGTGGAGGATGGAGGTATGTGTACAGTATAGGAGAGAGAGGAGGGGAAGAGTAGACCTGTTGCAGGCCTGATGGGTTAGGTAGAGAGAGGGGAAGATGGGAGATGAGACGCAGAGGGGAATAATAACTGGAGGAATGGAGGGATCGGCAATAGTAGGTTTACTACTCACTAATTCATTACGGTACATCACACAGATCGTAAGAATAAGAGAAGACATAAGAGGAGGATTAACAGTCGTTCCTCACTCCAAGGCACTTATGATGATGATGTGCTCCCTACAAAAGGGGGATTGGTAACATTTATAACCTTTCTTCATTTATTTAAAAATTTTCTTAAGAATGACATAATCACTGCTTAAAGCCTACATTCTTAATTAATCAATTAAAGGGGCCACATATCTTAATATAACCTTCATCTACAGAGTTTACCAAATAGGGTACACACACATACCTGCCATGCTCACCATGCACTGACATGCCACACTATGTCCTCACTGTTGCACTCCAAACACCAGACTGTCTTTTAGAACAGGGTGCTCTTCTCACTGTGTCAGTGATGCTCCAGTGATGCACAGCCATGCCTATGATGTTATGTTCACAGATAACTATGATAGGCTTCTGGCCCATTGGCCTACCCTATCCCTATCATACTCACATTGGCTAAAGGAATTTAAATGTCTTTAAAATGTGATACCATTTACTCTAAAAGCATGACATTATTACATTGCTTAAGGGCCTATCACACTGGGCAAAATTTCTGCTTTCCTCAGGAGAAGGCAGCGATACCATTGTTTTTGGTCAGAGTTTTCAACTAAAAACTGAGATCTGAGAAAAACGGAAAGTACAGGAATTCTTGGGGAAGTTTTGACTGCATTTCATATCCAATTGAGGTTTTATAATACAGTATTTATAATTGAAAGGTGTTGATTTTATTAAAACAAATTATTCTGAACAAATTTTGACTGATTTTATTGCAAACATAATATCATTGGAATATTTTTTATACATACAAATGAAAATTGCAGATAACATTTCTTTTAACTTTTGTTTACATCTAGCATGGAATCTGAAGCCTCATCAGTTATTTGGACAAGGGACTCTGAAAATTCCTTTTGTTGATAAAATGAGGAATGAAGTGTTGTGAAATTTCAGATATCCATTGTATCTCAAGAAAGCTTAAAACAGCGCAAGAATGTTGAATGACCCGCCATCTTTGTTATTGTTTTATTCCGAGCAACAGCATTACACGAGCAGTGCTACAACCGAGAGTGTGATTGGAAATGGTGTTTTTCGAACTGAGAACAGAGAAATGAGAATCGAGAAAGGCAGAAATTTTGCCTTGACATATTTGTTTCTGATTAACACGCATTTATTTGTTTGTTGAAAAATTTTATGCTTGGTATCCATGTTCAGTATGCCCGGATAATTCACAGATTTTTATTTTGCGGTTCTCTATTATTCACGGATGACACCCTGGATCTCCCAGACCAGATATCCCTCTTCCTAGTCACAGGCCTGGCATTTGACATTATTAGGGACCTGCTACTCTTTGCCATAAACAGATAAAATGTACCGGGACCTTTCCCCCCACACACTCATCATTCTCTCACTTTATGTAACTTGACAGAACCTATGACCCTTCAGGCTTTTATGCCTTTAATGTATGAGTCATAAAAGCAAGTATGAACTTTTCATACTTCCCTGTTGGGCGCTGTAAACGCTTCTGCACTTCACCTTGCACAGGATGTAAGGGGTGCCCAATAAACTAGCCCCCTCGGGGGCAAATCTGAATCTGAATCTGACACCCTGGATGTACCCAAGAATATCTGCGGGTAGTTTTAAAGTTGCCGGCATTTTCGAGGCCGGTACAGGGAGCGCGCGAATTTTTTGGCATCCTGCAAGGTGTCTCTCTTGTCCCGGGAGGCTGGCCCACACGCGCTCCGCCTCAGTCTGGGATAAACACTTGTCCGTCTTGTGAGTGTGCTACTCTGCTCTCGTAACAACTGTGCTCCTTGTGCTTGTGATGGCTCTCAAGCACCCTCAACCACCTTTATCCAGCCGTAGGAAGGCACCCAAGCAAGTGAATAAAGAAAAGGTCATGTATTTCTCCCCTATGTATGCCTGGCTACACCTGGCTACACCTGACTGCCAGTTAGCGGGTCGTCTTCAGTTGTAACTCTCCTCGCTCCCTGCCATATTTCACTGGATTTACTGTTACGTATTAATAGTGTTTACTGATAGAATAGTGCTTGACTGTGATTATCATGTCATTGTAGCTAGGTTAACTCATCATTGTAACCACCAGGCTACTGGGCCAAGCTTTGAGGTGTTATGGTTTTATTCAACTTATATTTTTTGTTTAGATATACAGTGAGTTCTGCTATAACGCGCGTTTTGACAACGCGAATTGGCTCTAACGCGATTTATGAATAGAGGAACGATATTTGTATAACGCGTACGCTTGTTTGCTGTAACGCGATTTTTGCTTACTATTTCTCCAATTTTGTGGTATTAACTGTGAATATGGTAAAGAAGAATATCTGCAAGAAGCGTTCTGGTGATCGCATTCCCGGTGATGATCGTAAAAGAAAGGATATAACCCTTGAAGAGAAGCTTGATGTTTCAACCTCAAAATCACCCTTCTCCCCCATCAAGTTATATTCATATTTTTTCAAGGTAAAGTGTTACATTTACTGTATGATTTCATTATTAGATATGAATGTAACATTTATTTAGACTGTTCTATCCTTTGTGTTAGGCTAACTACTAAATTTTTTTCGATTTCGTGTAGTAACCTGCACCTAACCCTATTTTCTCCATAAGCTCTGTTATTTCTATTACGCGAATTTCTATATCACGATGTTTTACAAGAACACAACTATCGCGTTATAGCAGAACTGACTGTACATAACCTTCTTCATTTATTTTTTCTCATTTACATGCACACACCATCCTACATACATATTATGAAAAAGTATACAGCAATACACCATAATTACCGACATCCTTTATGTTGGGTTGGCTAGATGACTATGAAAGAAATTCTGTAAGTTTAATCTACAGTACATATCAACCCAGCTGGTGCTGGCACCATATGGCAACTCGACCAACTCAACTTTAATAACAAAGCTCGGAGTTGACCTGAGGGTAGACTGGCATTTATTCTACATTACATTTTGTTGTCGTGTTTTTTATTATTTGTGAGAGGATTTCCCATTATTATTTATTTGTATGCATTTTAATAATAATAATAATAATAGTAATAATAATTAACAGATTATTGAAAGAGCATGGCAGCCGTAAGGCTGAAAATATACAGTTACATACCGTATATACTCGTCTATAACCCCCCTTCGTATATAGGTCGACCCCGATTTTTTGACCAAGAAATCGTTAATTTATGATATTCTTCGTTTATAGGTCGACCCAAGTTTTTGAGGGTAAAGGAACAACAAAACCTTCAGAAAAACACTACATCCTATAAACTTGTTTACCATTTATTATTACGACACTTTACACTGAAACGCGGGTAGTTTCAACAAAAATATTGTATATTTCCATTCAAGTATTTATTCAAGTCAATTAGGAGGGAATATTATTGTAATACAATAGTTTTTTAACTGAAAACCATTCGAAAAGCGATTACGGTAACATATTTTGAACGAAAGAAAGCAAAAGTCATTGTTTTCGTCACAATTTTATCCCACTTTCCACTGTAATACGTACGTCATTTCAGCAAAAAATATTACATTTCCGTGAATGTATTATATCAACCACAGTATAAATAGAATATCACTAATATAACAGTATTTTAACTGAAAACTATTAAAAAAACGAGTAACATATCTTGAACATCGGAAGGTTTGGTAAAGTCTTTTGTTTTCATCATGTAGTTTATCCTAATTTACATTGAAATACATCATGTTTCGGCAAAACTACTATTTATTTCTGAGAATATGGAAATGTAATATTTTTGCTGAAATGACGTACGTATTATAGTGGAAAGTGGGATAAAATCATGACAAAAACAATTACTTTCGCTTTCTTTCGTTGAAAAGATGTTACCGTAATCGCTTTTCGAATGGTTTTCAGTTAAAAACTGTTGTATTACAATAATATTCTATCCTAATTCACTTGGGATGTAACAGTTTTTTAACTGAAAACGATTCGAAAAACACGTGTACCGTCTAGCTGATACGGCAGAGCCCTGGTCGCGGAGGCTTTGTGTTTGCATCGGCCCTTCTTAAGCAGCTTTTAATTTTAGCGTACGTTGAAATTGTGTTTACCGGTATATTCTTATTTTCTTGCTTCTTATTTTCCAGAAATATGACAAGTTTGTATATAATACAATGTTACGGTACTTTTAATTTACAAGTATTCATTTTTAAAAATACAGAAGACACCAAACAAATACCAGTACTACGGTTATTTGCGTGACTCTCCCGCCAAAAAAGACCAAACAGCTGGTACTCTCTCCCTCAGCCCTACCAAAAATAGCCCAACGACATCTTTCTTGTTTATTCTCTTCCAATTTCTCACTTTAACTGGTATTTTTTACTTCATATTGCCTACATCAGATAAACTACAGTAATTGAGGTTAGACACTGTTATAAATTTGATTACCGGGTCCTGGCAGGTGCCGTTAGAACCACCTGACCCTACCAACAGTGTTGCAAGTCAGACAGCATTTTTTTAATCATCCATGTGCACGAGAAAGGATGGATGGATGAAGGCGGCATACAAATATGGCTTAAAAAAGTCTGGAACTTTAGACCAGGGGGACTGCGCAAAGAAAAAAGTCTTTTTGTGTGGGATATGTTTCGGTCACATCTTGTTGACAGTGTTACTGCTGGGATTAGGAAGGAAAACACTGATACAGCTGTGATTCCTGGTGGATTAACAAGTCTTGTCCAACCACTGGATGTTTCCATAAACAAACCATTTAAAGATGCGGTAAGAGTGAAGTGGAACAACTGGATGATAGAAGGCGATAAGACATACACAAAGGGAGGCAACATCCAAGCTCCATCACTAGCAACATTATGTGAATGGATTGTAGAGGCCTGGGATGCAATCAGACCAGAAATTGTGGTGAAATCTTTTAAGAAATGTGGGATTTCGAATGCTCTTGATGGAACAGAAGACGACTTGTTGTGGGATTATGAGGCTAATGAGAGCGTGAATGAGGATGAAGATATTGATGATCCTATGGCTGATGATGGTGTTGATCCATATGACGATGCTGTTCAAGGAGAGGACTGGGAGGAGCTGTTTGGTGCTGCAGATGATGACAAGGAAAATGATTTTGATGGATTTTAATGAAAATATTCAGAAATATGGTATCGTAGTATTTATTCAAGTCAATTAGGATAGAATATTATTGTAATACAACAGTTTTTTAACTGAAAACCATTCGAAAAGCGATTACGGTAAAATCTTTTGAACGACGAAAGAAAGTGAGTCATTGTTTTCGTCACAATTTTATCCCACTTTCCACTGTAATACGTACGTCATTTCAGCAAAAATATTACATTTCCATATTTATTTCTGAGAATATATTCATTCAGGCACAGTTAAGGTAAAATATACTTGTGATGTAATATTTTAATGAAAATATTTATAAATAAGGTATCGTATTTTTCTTTTGTTTCAAATTTAATTAACAACGATTGATGTTTCAAATTTAATTAACAAAAATTTATGTATCTATAAATAAAATTTTAAAAAAGAATACTTTATGTTTTACATACTCCTGTGCATACCATACCATGCATTTGGCTACTTTGGGCTTGCTATGATGACGCAAGAGATCTGCCCTGGCAACTGTACCGACACTCACAGCGGGCGGTGCGTTGGTGCTTCGTTTCCATTGTTTACTGGTAGTTACTGGTAAATATTTTTCAACCTAACGAAACTATTACCCGTATAGAGGTCGACCCCCAACTTTTTGCCAAAAAATTTGGTCTTAAGAACTCGTGCTATACACGGGTATATACGGTAATTGGGGAAAGGGTCACTTGATTGACAAAATTGACAAATAACATAAGTGATACAAATATGATATAATAACTAAGTGGGGGGAAGGTTATACTACAGGGCATTTCAACATAGTGACAGTGCAAAAGAGTAAGATTGGCTGGGAGTGAATACATACACTGGTTGATTACGAGTTGTTGATAATTTTTATAATGGTTGGGACTGGTCTGTTGTTATAGCATTGTGTGTGTGGGTGGGTGGGTGCAAAAGAAATAATTATCCTAATTTGTCCTTAAGATAAACACATAAATGGAATAAGCATTTCTTTGCACACAGGTAAAAAATGTACCCCGGTCAATAAATGTTATTTTTGGATTTGTCTATTTGTGACCATTTTTGAGAACCTAAACCCCTCGAATTTGAAGGGCATGCTGTACTTCTTTACAATGTGAATGCAACTAACTATTCTTTAAAGGCTCTTATTAACTGCTTCATAATACAGTACAGTGTAGTATATCTGAAGCTGTTTGGGCACCAACAAAAACATGCCATTGATAATTTCAAGTCCTTCTCACAGATAGTTGGGCCTTATGTTGGAAAGGTCCCTGCTCATAGACCCATTGCCATAGCCAGAATGTGTACTGAGGACCTTGAAGTTTAAGGCCAGTACTGTTATCACTCAACTGGAAAGTTTACAATATACAGTAAGTTTATTGTATTGTAGTGGAAAGTAATAAGAAGTTATATTCTAAAGAGGGATGGAGTGGATTAGTTATTGGTAACGTACCCGAACACATCATCTTTGGTACTTCAGCTTATGTTTCCTGTAGAACAATGTTATGTGTGTCAACAAGGAGGAGAGGGAGAGTAAGTTGTAACTTTCATTTGCACTCAATCACTTTAATTACTGTAATACTGAAATTAATTTTTTTACTTTGTTGCAGGTCAGTTAATGTTGTTTCTAGACAGAGTGGATGCTTTCATATACAAAGTGTGTCCATTTGTGGCTGCCGGTGTAGTGGTTGGCTCAATCTACTGGACTGCTGTTACCTACGGTGCCATTACTGTCATGCAGGTGGGCTTATGTGCTGTTGACATCTTATTTTTGATATGAGTGTTTACTGTATTATAAAAAGGATATAATATATCTTAATTACATGTAACTAGACAAAGTGAAATGTTTTTGGTATACAGTATTATTCCTAATAGCCGGAATCTTAGATCCCCAGGATCTAAAGGTCGACACCCTGTCATATGGGTAACAAATGATGAAAATATTAGTTTGCACAAGTATGATTACAAAACTGATTTGCATAAGCTCATGACAACATATTCGGGACAGATTTACACCTGACTTTCCAAAGATGATGCTCACATTCTGAAGAACTATTCAAAGTTTATGCAAATATCAGTGACATCATCTGATAAAAAAATCAAAGACCCTCTGCTCTTCATCAAAACTAAAAAATGTAAGGAGCTATGACTGGTACTGAATAAGGCAAGGTATCCAGGTAAGCCTCACAGTGTAAAGAATGTTTCAGTTTAAACACCACATATCTAGCAATGTAGGCACTAATTGTTGTTTTTTTATCATATTGACAATGTGTTGAGTCAGGAATATGCAGTATACATATTCATGGTCAGGTAAATGTGATCCTGAGACACAGTCCTCTGATATTCTGTTTTTACCAACATGAATTTATTGCAGACACAGATGGTACTTCTAAATCAACATCATTATCAACACTAAACACAGTTAATATTGGGCCTGATTGCAGTGGTAGACAGCTTCTGCACAGAACATCTTAAATATCATTAAAAATCAACAACTTTTTTGTAACCAGCAATTAATTTCCTAGTTGTTGGATTATTATTACATCCCCCTAAACTTTACAATTTTCCAAAAGAGCTCCAGATGGTCCTGGCTGAACAGGTATGTAAGTAAAAATTTCATACCATATGGTTGGGATGCAATAAAAATATTATAAAGTCTTAATAAGCTGTCTATGCAAATGACAAAGTCAAGAAATCGTTTTTCTGTTACATTTCACAATAGAAATTTGTGAGTTTGGTTGCTTTAAAGACAGTAGAACTGTATATAATAATAATAATAATAATAATAATAATAATAATAATAATAATAATAATAATAAAGGTTTATTAATAGAGTTGCAGCCGGTGGCTGAAAATATACAGACTTACATTAGATTTAGACATAATGATATAATATGCATTGAATACATTTACAGGGCTGTGCAGTACATAAATCAGGAGTTGTTTATTATTTTAACAATAGATGGGATGGTGCTGTTCTTATATCTATCGGTGCGGGCTCTTATGGGCTGAATTTTGTTGTAGTGGCGGACTGCGCGAGTTGGGTGGGGGGCTGCAGGTGGCAGGAGGTGGCGATGGCGAGGGTGGTGCAGTAGTCCACGGCCAAACCTTTCCAGTGCTTGGTGGTGGAGGTCACTGAGGGATGGCATTTCCAGGGTGGAGAGAGCGTTGGTGTAGCCGGAGTATTCTGCGCCGAGCATGATTCTGCAGGCCCTTTTCTGTACCTTCTCTAGCTGACGTTGTTGGGTGGAGTTGAGAGAAGACGACCAGGCTGGTGACGCATACGTTAGTTTGGGGAGAATAAAGGCGTTGTAGATGGTCCTCAGCTCTGGCGTGGGTGTCCCAAGTGACCTAAGTCTTCGTAGCATGTAGAGACGGTACGAGGCTGCCTTGACTGTGTTATTTACATGGGCCTTCCAGTCAAGTTTGTTGTCTATAGTTACACCCAGGAGTTTGGCAGACTGCACCAGCTGGAGAGGATGGGCACCCACTGTGACTGCTGGGGCTTGCACTGGAGTGGTGGCGGTATTGATGTGCATGACTACGGTTTTGGTGTGGTTGATGGTGACCTTGTTCTCCGTAGTCCATGCCTGTAGCCTGTCCAGGGTGCCTTGGAGCGGTGAGTAGTCTGGTGCGGTGTTGTCCACTGAAACCCCCACAGTGCAGTCATCCACGTACTTCCACCTGTGAGGAGTGTCCGATAGAGCGTCGTTGATCAGGATGAGGAAGCACAGTGGTCCCATCTTGGTCCCCTGGGGAACACCACAGGTGAGGTGTTGGAATGTAGAGACCAAGCCCTGATACCTCACTGCTTGGCGACGTCCACTCAAGAAATCAGTGAGCCATGAGACCAGGTTGGTGGGCAGCCCTAGTGCAATAGCCTTGTTGATAACAGTGCAGTGATCAACAAGGTCAAAGGCCTTCCTGAAGTCCACAAGGGCAACGGCCAGTGATGTCTTACGTTTCTGCAAGTTTTTGTGCAGAAAATCCAGAAAGCTCACCAAGCAGTGTGATGTAGAGGAGGTCCTCATATTGCCAAATTGCTGTGGATCAATTGACTGATAGATACTGGCAAATGCCCACTCAAAAACAAAGTCCTCACAAAGTAGACTGGGTATGGGGGTAATGGCAACTGGCCTAAGGTCGTTAGGGGACTGTGGGGTGGTGACCTTGGGGATGGGGGTGACAAATGCGGTTTTCCATTCATTAGGGCATTTTCTTTGTCTGAGGGATGCATTAATAATAGAACAGGGGGGGGGGTGGCAAATTCGACTGCAAACTCCTTGTATATTTTGATTGGGAGGTCAATTGGGGTCGTGGAGCGTTTGGATTTAAATTTCAGGAGTTTGTTGGCGATTTCATATGGTTGGACACTGGGAGGGGGGGAGGGGAAAGGTAAGTAAGCTGGGAGGAGAGTGAGGTCAAGACTGGGTAAGGTATGACATATGGTAGCAAAGTGGTTATTAATTATCTCAGCTGCCTCCTCACTAGGTAAATGTGAGATGAAAGGAAGTGTGGGAGACTGACGGTTGAGACCACAGAGACCTTTTACCTTGGAGTACCACTGACCGATGCCGACTTCCTTGAGGCCGTGCACTTTCCTGGGATTATAAGTCTTCTTGGCAGACTTGATTTCCCTGATGACCTGGTTACGTAGACTTTTGTACAGGCAGTTGTTGGTGTAGTATGCCTTGTTGCGCTGCTCAATAAGCCTTTTTATGCGGGGTGTAATCCACGGGACATATCGGGGTGGATCCTCAGTGTTTTGGCTGGAAAGAAGTGGTGGTAGGCTTTGGTGATAGTGTCCAGGTAATTATCCCACTTGTTCTGCACATCGTCTACCGTGATCACTTCAGTCCAGGGATACCGGGTTATCCATTGTCCAAAACGCCGCATAGCAGAGTCTGGGGTAGGTCGGAAAGTCCTGGTGGCAACTGGCGGTGGTGAGAAGGTGGGGGTAGGTGACCACAGCAGGGACAGGTGGGGGCTGCGTCCCATAGGAGGCAGCGGCTGGGGGGGAAGGTAGTGGTTACCGAGATCAGTCATAATGAGGTCAAGGGTGGCATTGCCATGTGTGGGAAGGTCTACTATTTGTGTAAGGTGGAGGTGTTGGGTGATGTCACTGATGTCTAACTCATTGAAGTCACCGCATATCACTAGTTTAGCACATGGGAATCTGGATCTCAGGGAGTCAGCAGTGTCTATAATAAGAGTAATCAGTACATTGGCGGTTGGTGCGCGGGGGGATGATAGCATACACAGACAATGAGGGAGGCAAGCTGGCGAGGTGGGAGTGACCTGAACCCACAAGGCTTCTACATCTTCAGGTACATTAACACCTAGGGGTGATGGTTTGAGGTCACTGCGACAGTACAGAACTACACCACCACCTCTCCTGTCCTTTCTAAGGTGGTGAAATAACTCATAGTTTTCTAAGCACAGATCTCAGGAACAATTTGCCACGCCTCGGTAATCGCCACAATACCTGCACCAACTGACTTCACTGACACTGACCTCCTCCACCTTGTTGCATGAAGATGTGACATTGGACAGCAGTAGGGATGGTAGGTTGTACCATAGTCTCGGCACTTCATAGCGAGTACACTGTCTTTCAAGTACTGGCTTGACTTTCCTCTGCTTGCCCGGTGTGATGGTAGGGATTCGTCTGGGAATGCGGCGACCCCGTCTGCAGCCGCGGTTTGGAAGATACTCAGCGCCTTTTGTAGAGTGATGGTGTGGGGTGGAGGATAGCCAGCACCAGACTTCAGCCGAAACAGGTCGGTGCGACGATATCGTGCCACTGGAACACACATATTCACAAGTCTGGCACTTGAAGTCACTGACACCTTGAAAATACGCACTGTCTACCCGTAAAAGTACTGAACTACCTTTAGTAACTACAGGTCGACGTGATGACCTTGGCTGCTGCTGAGCGCCAGGAGACACGTCCTCACTCAGTGAGGTCACTAAGGCCTGTCTTATGATCTGAAGTATAGAGGGATGAAAAAATGTGCCTGACAGTCTAAGGGAGAACCTGGGACTCATAACAATATAATTCCTGGTTAGAACGTGAGAACAATCCCAAGGAATATAAGTAGAAATGAGAAAAGGGTTACAGTATAAAATAAAGATCCAGTTGATTCCCTAATCTCACTTATAAACACAGTGGTGGTGATTGTTAGGTCTATGTTAGTTTAGTATGCGAACTAGACAAAGGAATAAGGTCTTCTCAACTTTAACTTAAGGAGAAAACTCAAACCTTATGACTCGCTTCTGTCAATCACAAATACTGTAATTATGAAGGTTCAAATCCTGTGGGACATTCGCTCGACACTAAGTGACCGACCCTATGTGTGTTTATAATAACTTAATTTACCAAAAGGGGGTTAATCAGACCCAAGCTTTATCAAAGAATTTCAACACAGCCTATAATAAATATCGAATGCTGCCACTTAAGTTAAAATCAGAAGTTACTGAACAATTAAGGTAAATTGTGATTAAAACTAAAACATCATGGACGTTTGCAAGGTGATATAAAATTATCAAAACACCTTGTGATAGCTGAGGGTACATTATGATGAAGGCAAATCAATGACACCTTAAAAAAAAAAACTACACTTGTTCTTAAATCCTGGCAAGGTTGCCACATGTTATGATCTCAAGTATAGAGGGATGAAGGAATGCACCTGACAGTCTAAGGGAAAACTGGGGACTTATAACAAAATATATGGAATGTTTATTTCCTCTTATTCGTTCTCAGTATTGTAGTGTCATTTATAGCAAGTGCCACTGCATATTATGACCATCAGGTCTTGAAAGAAATACTGTACCTTATTTCTGGGCTGTCACCAAGAAAAACTATAAAAAGTAAACAAATTAAAACAATTTACTGATAACAAATATTAAAACAAACAAGGTAATACAAAAGGTAGTACCTTCACAACCCTCAAATTCTTGAAACTTTTCTCGCAAGCAAAACTCAAGAGAACAGGCTACATAATCACTCAAAAGTGATTCTGTATCACTCCTCAACTTTTTATCTAAATGAAGTCCCTCACTTTCTTGCAACTTGTGAAGAAATTCAATAAATTACCATTTTACACAATTATTCTCCCCCTCAACCACAGTACCTTTTTTCAGAAAGAGTATTTCTTACTAATTTCAATATGTGACAAGGATCTGAAAGTACAAGTACAGGCTTCTTAGTTACAGGGTGATCAAAGGATGCCATCAAATTAGTAGGTTCAAGACTGCAACCAAGATATTTTATCATTGCTAAAGTTGATCATGCCCCATCAAAAGTATGAGAAATTTCTTTTACACCAGTTACATGAAGTCTCTAAGCAGTGGGTAACTAGATTACTCTTTCCAGTATCACAAAACTCATCAGTAAAAAAGTAACCAATAGGTAGGTTCTGATGGTCATTAATGGAAACCACCATAAAAATTAGGGCTTCCTTAGCTACAGGTAAGCTGGCATTGTCCAGTTCAATCCCCAAGTCAGTGTAACCATGATAATTGTGACCATTCCACATGCTGGTGTATGACCATTTCATCCATAATCAGGGAGCGCAAAACAGGCTTCCCTTTCTTGTTGCAGCCACTGACCTAGTGTGTACAGTAATGCAGAAAATGCTGGCTATGTAAGTCCTGGCTTACCTTCCACAGACCTGTACCACTTCTCCTTTGTCATTGGGTGTGGTAAGCAGGTGTCAAACATTTTTCTAATGTACCTGTGTGCATGTGGTGAATAAAAGTTTAAAGTTAATGCAAAACTTCTTAATTCAGGTGATTTGATAAATTTTTTTGCCACCTGTCTTTTTAGAAGATTACTTACCCCACCTGCACACTTTTCTGGAACACTTAAGCTGCTTGTACTGAGGAATTTTTTTCCTTTAAGTCATTAATAATATTTTCTAATCCAACAATCTTTTTCATAAGCTGCTGTTTTGTTTGAAGTAAACTTTTATTTATTTTTTTCTTGGATGCCATTAACTGTTCTTGACTAATCTCTAGTTTTCACTTCAGGTTGGGCTTCCCAGGAGTCTCTGGAGAATCTAATGTTTCAGTGACATCGTCCTGGGGATCCCTTCTCTCAACAGAATATGTATTCACAACAGAGGAAATGCTACCTCACATTTTGTTGGTGCTTTTCTAGGCCTAGGTGTTTGCTTTTGTAAATGTGAGAGAAAGGCATCAAATACAGAGGGTATTACACCTTCTCTTTCTTTAACACATGCTAATGAGATCTTATCTGTATCTTCTTCCTTAAAATGTCGGGAACACAGAACTGCAGGTTTTGAGGGCTTGAAGATCTTCCTGCATGTAGCCTGTATCCACTTCTTCCAAAGAGATTCATCTTTGAGGAAACTGGAAAAGAAATGAAGGCAGTGGTTAAACTAAATTACTAAATTGGCACTTCTGCTTGATATAATATAATTACAACTTCAGCACTTGCTGCTGGAATGTTACAGAATTTCTTCCTGTCCCTCAGGGTACAGTCGCTCAAAAAAGTATCTGAAAAATATTGTTCATGACAATATGACACGTTGGACATATGTTTTGGGGAAATGGTAGAGGACCAGGCAACAGTGCCCAGACAACAGGGGTTGTAATGTTCGTTTTGACATCCATAAGACCACAATTTTCAGATACTTTTTTGAGTGACTACACACACATGCCCAGCAGGTTGGCATAACAGAGCAAATATGGGAGCGACAGTAGCCAAAAAATTAAACATGTGACTGTAGCCATTTCCCTTATTTAATCCACTTCTGCTTGATATAACATATTTACAACTTTAACACTTACCGATGGAATGTTATAGAATCTCTCCTGTCCCTCTGGTCATCCATATGCCGAGTAGGATGGCATAATGCAGCAAAATTTGGGTGTAGCAGCACGAGTGTTTGGGCATACAGTACGCCCAGATAATTCGCAGATTTTTATTTCGCGGTCCTCTATTATTCGTGGATGACACCCAGGATGTACCCAAGAATGTCTGCGGTTAGTTTTAAAGTTGCCGCCATTTTCGCGGCCAGGACAGGGAGCCATTCGTTCTAGAGACAGTAATTTCCTTTACCTGTATTGTATATACGTGTGTGTGTATAGACACACACACACAAAACACATACAAGTACAAATAAATAATACAGGGGGCCCCAAAAAATTTGCGGGGGTTAAGTTCTCAAAATGGCCGCTAATCGCCAAATCCACGATTAACATTTGCGGACCAGGAGGGGGAGGGGGTACATTTTTACTTGTGTACAAAGAAATGTATATCCCCTTTATGCGTGGAGGTATACTGTATACTGTACTGCTCCACCAACTGTAAAGTGAGGTTTCATTCTCATTTTTCAGTTTTCCATTTTTTATTCAGTTATTTTGTGTCCTAATAACTCAGTATTTTTATGATGTTCAGAATTTTATTGTGTTGTATCAGGTTGTGGGCTACCAAGAAGGAATGGCATTGATGGAACAAGCAGACCCGTTGGTGCTCCTGGTGGGATTACCTACAATTCCTATCTTTCTCATTCTTGGCAAGATGGTTCGTTGGGAAGACAAGGTCCTCAGGCTCATAAGGGCATCAGTTCAAAGACTTCCTTTCCTAAAATATCTCCTTCCTGCATTTAGGTGAGTTGCAGGCAAGAATATTTTCAGTTTCTTATTAATGTTCTGAGTACGTACAGTAGGGTCTCAGAGTACGTTATTTATAGTACATGACCCTGCATTTACTCGTCTGACCCCCCTGAACCGCCCTTACACTTGGGTCTCGCTTGAGCCAACCCACTCAGCATCTCTCACTTGCTCAGCATGTTTATCACTTGTCTGCTCATTTGAGGGGAAAAAATCATTACAATACTGTACTTTAATGAGCCTTAGAAATAAAGTAAATATAATATAAACTATAAAATAAGAAAAGTGAAGAGCATGGGTTTGTATGTGTGGAAAGTGAACGTTTGTATGAATCCCCTGATGTGAATCAGCTGGGCGACTGCTTGGCTGAACTGTCACATCACCCAGAGGATGGTTTGAGTGTGAAGGATCTTGTCTTTGTACATTAAATGATATATAATGTTACTGTATAACCAGCAAATGTATGGAATAAATGAAAATAATAATAATAAATAAAATAAAAGAAAAAATCCCAATTGCTATTTGGTAATCATTTCACAAAACACTGGACACAGGAGACAGTGAGTAGCTGAGATATCACACTGCTCCCCCATCCCTGCTCTGCATGCTGACTCTGGCACATGAAGAAATGTTTATTCCTTTTATATTTTTTACCTTACGTTAATTTTTTTTTGGCACAGTCTGCATGAAAGATTGTGTGTGCATGTAACAGAGTAAAAAAAAACAGAAAGGTAGAAAATAATTTTCCGTATATCTACCCAAAATTATGAGTTGAAAAATAAGTGTAACATAATTATGCCGTTCTTTCTCTCACACTAATTCTGTGGACATATCCCAGGGGTTCGTGCTGGTAAAGTTTTCTCTACTGATGAATTTTACCACAATCTTGGCCCCTAAGAGGAAAATTAGTGGATTTACTGTACTAAGGAGTGGATATTGAACTCTGAATTTGTGCATTAGTTACCTTAGTATACAAAATGAGTTATACTTACATGTACAGGGGGGACCTAAATATACATGAATTCACACTTGCGCGAGGATCCCAGGAATGTAACCCTCACGTACTCTGAGACCCTAATGTACAGTATAATGCAATTATAAGTTCTATGGTACCCAGGTGAACTATGCATTTAGCCACTATTCCATGAACCACTATATTTATACTCAACATCTTTTTCCAGTCTTTTATTTGTATTAAAATTTTAAAATTTGTTTATGACCATTATTTTTTACTCAGTATTATTTTAAATGTACTACAGCATACAATACTGTACGTGGTAGAAATAGCCAAGACTTATTAGTTGAGACTTGTAGACTTAACCATGTATGTTAAAACTTTTTATACCTTTGTTATCTTATTTGAAAGGTATGAAGAACCAGCAGGAGTGAGTACAACAGCAGTAATAAGTGATCCAGTAAATGCAACACGAGTGCTCTGTGGTGCTCTTTCCCTCCCAACCCTCGCTACTATTGTGGGGCGACTTTTCTTCCCATCTGCCCACGACAATCTTACCAGAACCTTGCTTGTGGGTATTGATATTATTTTTATCAAATATTAGTATACCTGGTATACAAATATACATATATACATATGTATATATATGTATATATATGTATATACATATGTACTGACAGTAAAAACCTTCCAATACTGTACTCTATCCATTATTGGGCGGGTTTTCTTTCCCCCATTCCTCACCATCACAGCATCTTATATGGTAATGAATATTGTACAATACTGTATATAGAAATTTAACTTACCTTAATTATGGTGGTTCAGTTCTTGCACTTATTTCTTTATGCTGGTATATAGCAGTAAATGTTTGGAGTTGTGTTTATATGGTGATAAATGCTTCAAGGAGTGTTTATATAGTGGTAAATGTTTGGGGCAGTGTTTATGTAGTGTAATGTTTGGAAAGGTGTGTTGATAATTTGATATACAGTGAGTTCTGCTATAACGTGTGTTTTGATAACGCGAATTTGCTCTAACGCGATTTATGAATTAGGGACGATATTTGTATAACGCGAACGCTTGTTTGCTATAACGCGATTTTTGCTTACTATTTCTCCAATTTTGTGGTATTAACTGTGAATATGGTAAAGAAGAATATCTCCAAAAAGCGCTCTGATGATAGAATTCCCGGTGATGATCGTAAAAGAAAGGATATAACACTTGAAGAGAAGCTCGATGTTATCAACCTCAAAATCACCCTTCTCCCCCATCAAGTTACATTCATATTTTTTCAAGGTTAAGTGTTACATTTACTGTATGATTTCATTATTAGATATGAATGTAACATTTATTTAGACTGTGCTATCCTTTGTGTTAGGCTAACTACTAAATTTTTTCGATTTCGAGTAATCTGCACCTAACCCTATTTTCTCCATACCGTATATCACGGCCTATAAGACGAAATTTGAACATTAAAAAAATCTGCCCAAAGTTAGGGGGTCGTCTAAACCACCAAGTTTAAAATTCTTACCTCTTAAATATTGTGGTTTAGTGTGTCAAGAGTGGTGATGAAAACATCGTAAGCCACTCACAAGGTCTTACCACTAATTATTTTATACTGAAACTTACGTTTGGCAAGCTGGATTCAAATTAAGATTACCGGTATATTAAAATAATAAAAATGTATTATAAACCTGTCTAACATACCGTAAAAGAGATTTATACCCCTGTAATAAACACAGCTATCATCACACACCCCTCCCCACGCCCCCCCCCATTTGCCAGTGAGGAGACAAGAAAGGAAAAGTGCATTAATTCTTGAAACTATCGACGGTTAATTACAGACGCTCAAGTGACGTCACTAGTGTTTACACTACACCAGCTGGTAATATTTGATGCCATTACTTGAAGTGAATTGGCCTTATTTTAAGTAACTAACTATAAATAAATACAAAAATTAAAAAAAAAGATCAAAACTGAGAAATAATATACTGTATGTATGTTGTGTTGTCAAAGTAAGAGGAACAATTGTGTAAGTACGTAATATTTTTTCACTCAAATCCTAATGAAACACTACTGGAGAACATTCCTTTGTCGCAAAACAGTTTATAAATTAAAGAAAATAATTACAGTGTGTTTAATATATTACAGTATATTATAAATAAATAAATAAAACAAATAATTCGGTAAATTTATTTAAAGTAAATGGAAAATAAGCAAACATGTTATTTACCAAGACCCTTCCGTCTGGCTCAGGGTGAGATGGAGGGGAGATAAAGAAGGCTATTTATAGCCCATCAGAAGTGGCTAGTACCCTAATGCACCATAAATAATTCATTGAACATTCATTTTTTGTACATAGTATATTCAGTATATATATATATATATATATATATATATATATATATATATATATATATATATATATATATATATATATATATATATATATATATATATATATATATATATATATATATATATATATATATATATATATATATATATATATATATATTTGTGTAATAAATGTATGTAGTAAGTACATACTGGTAACCTTTTTCACTCAAATCCTAATGAAACATCACAATTAGAATACGGTGGTTGCTGTTGAACCACATGTTGTATAAATAGTCACACCACCCAGACGAGGGAACACTCCCACCACGCTTCAGTGACGTCACTAGTGTTTACACTACACCAGCGAGTATAATTTGATGACATTACTTGAAGTGAATTGGCCTTATTTTAAAAAATCAAGGATGGTTGGTAAAGGACTACTGAGTCAGTGGGTAAGTGTCACATTTGGGGTACTGGTCTTATACAGCAAATAGAGCTCAAAAGCTACTTTTTAAATGGAAATTTGGGGGGGGCGTCTTATGCACCCCGCCGCCTTATAGGCCGTGATATACGGTAAGCCCTGTTATTTATATTATGCGATTTTCTATAACACGATATTTTACAAGAACACAATTATCGCGTTATAGCAGAACTACCTGTAGTGGCAAACATTTAGAGGTGTGTTTATATAATGATAAAAGTTTCAAGGAGTGTTTATACAGTGTATTACCCCACTTTACACGCTTTCACTTTCTGCGATTTCTCGATTTCTCATTGATTTCTCATTTACCTGGTACCTTGCCAGCCAGAACCAGACTTTCACTTTCCGCGGTGCATCTGCTCATATACGTGGTGAAGTATAATTTTATTTTTTTTTTATTTAGCTCATAAAATTCATACAAATTACCCGGCCAGAATATAATTTACATTGCTGGAATTCTTACAATATGATGATCATTTTGAATATAGCCATCATGGATTTTGCATTAGACATACAAATTTTAGATCTAATGTAATAATTTGGTTTACACAAAGCAAATATTTTATCGTTTGTGCAAAATATATGAAGTTTACATTCAAAATATTCCCTGACCTGCAAGGAATCCAGAAATGTCAATTATATTATCCTAACTTTAGTCTGAGTTATTATTTATTACTCAAAATGTAAATATACTATTTTCTCCCAAACGTTTCTCTGGTAGGGAGGGAAGGTGGGGGGTAGGGAGGGAGGGACCGACCCAGCTAGGGCTGAGGTGGGGTATTTTGATTGACAGATAGTGTCCTTGAAGAATATTTCTTTGTTTATTTACTGAAGATATTTGTTTTAGCTCATAAAATTCATACAAATTACTCGGCCAGAATATAATTTACAGTGCTGGAATTCTTACAATATAATGATCATTTTGAATATAAACATCATGGATTTTGCATTAGACATACAAATTTTAGATCTAATGTAATAATTTGGTTTACACAAAGCAAATATTTTATCTTTTGTGCAAAATATATGAAGTTTACATTCAAAATATTCCCTGACCTGCAAGGAATCCAGAAATGTCAATTATATTATCCTAACTTTAGTCTGAGGTATTATTTATTACTAAACGTTAAAATCTAGTGTTTTCACCCAAACATTTCTCAGAGAGGTAGGAGCTAGTGAGCTGGGAAGAGGGGGGGAGGGGGATTTGAGTCCATTATTTGAATGGACATTAACCTGGCGACTGCATTTCTCTTAAATATTAATTGTGTGAGCATACCATCATAAAATTAAGATTTTATTTTTACTACAACATAGGTATTGTGTCGGAAAAAGTGGAGGTTGGGGGTCGGGCCAGTCTCTATTGGAATTAATCCCATATGTTCTGTTATTCACTTTACGCGGTTTTCACTTTCCATGCCTGTGGGTTCAATTGACGCGTAAATCGTAAATGGGGTACTACTGTATAGTGGTAAATGGTTGGAGTTTTGGAGATGAGTGTTTATATAGTTATAAATGTTTGGTTGAGTGTTTATATCGAGCTGTAGGTGTTAAAAGAGCATGGATGTACAAAATTGTACAGCCTCTGCCACTTCCAATGAGCGAGGGAGAGAGAGGGATGACTGAGGCCAGTGTGTGAATGGGTGGTGGGGTAATGTGGTGGTTGAGGAGGGTCATAGTGTAGGGGGGCTAGAGGGGTGGGAGAGAATAAAGTGCAGTTACAACACAAGATATATTAAGCAAGAATACAAATACGTAGGAAAAATTTTTTTGAGTTGAATGTGATATCGCACATTAGGGTGGTATTCCCAACTTATGCTATGGGTCTGAACCATTATGCATATTTACTGTCCAGAATTTATGAAATAATAAGCTACTGTGATAAAAAAACACAGGGGTGATACAGGGATGGGCTGGGCCTTTACATATGGTGTCCTTTTACAATGGGGTTGCATTTATGACCCAACGAATAAAGGATGCATACCCAGGAAGTTGTCAAACACAATAATTTGAAATAACAATACCATTAGAATAATACATCAGTGTGCAAGAGTTCCACCTGTATTCAATTATTTATTTATTGTATTTTTTTCGATATGGATTACTAGCTGTCTCCTGTCTACTGGACTGTGAGGTGATGCTGGAATAAAGGGGTACCTATGGAGCAGGTGTCAGCACCTGGCACAGTTTAGGGCACTGGTGCACTATGTTTAGTAGGCAATCATCATTATGTGAATGCAGATACTTTATAATTTTGGGTGTTTGTTAAAGTTGAGAAACACCAGTAACACGTTATTGTCCGCTGTATTATGTGGACATACAACACTGCTTGTTAAATTTTCTCCGATACCTGCATGGGGCATGATGATGTGTGCTGTTGTATGAGGAGAAATGGGATATTGAGTGCTACTTGCAATTTAAATACTAATAATAATAATTACAAAATGAATAATAATGTATTATCTTCATTATAAGCTAATCATACACACCTGAGTAAAATATTCATTGCACAATGAAATTGTGTGATCACCCTGACAGAGCTATGTGAGATACACAAAAAGTTTGATTTTATTAAAAAAAATTGTAACCATTAACTCTGCAGAGTTGAGTGCCAATAAACAAATAAACAAGAAACATAAGCTTAATGGAACATTTACTCATGCCTCGGGGTGGGGCAACAGTTGACTGGGGTGGGGCAACAGTTGACAAAAGGAATGTGCATGTTGAGGGCCAACATGCACATCCCTTTTGTCAAC